TCTAAAGGGATAATTTGGGGCTGTTTTGCTTTAGTATATCAATTCCCCGCTTATATCGGTTAGGAATTGGTTTACTTGGTCCCACTTTATGTTTTTTTTTATTGAAGTTGAATTTGGTTTTAATGCTCCCTCGTGGACTAGTCTCATTATGTCGGGTTTTGGGGCTCCACGGCATACATTTGCCTTCAATTTTGTTGTGAAATTTAGGAAAATTGTTTTTTGATATGGGGAACATTTCTTATCAGTCAAACATTGTTATGAAGATGAGGTCTAGTGTATTTTCCATTAGAAGGGCCCATTTTTTTTGCTGGTTTAAATTTAATTTTGGCAGAGACTTAAAAAAGCTCGTGTGAGGGGAGATTTTGCAGAGCTTCCTCCGGGGGTTTTTACTGCAACCCAAAAATTAAATTTTCTATAATTTCCCCCATTTTAGGTGCCCTTTAAATTGAAATCCCCCAGGGGGCAAGATGTTGGGTGGCCCGGGGCTGGAAAATTTTCCCGACATGGTCAATTTTTAACAGCTGTCCTGGGAAATTTCCCGGGATGGGTTTCATCCGGGGGCTTTTAGACTACCACAATGACTAGGTTTTTTGGGTTTTCGACCTTTACTGCTAAAACAACCCCTAACTCAATTTTAGGCATTAAAGCAGTTCTGTGCAAACAAGTTACTCTGCCCAAAGTACAGGCCAACCCCCCCCCCCCCCCCTTTTGGGCCCGTTCCCTCTGTCACATCGTTAGGTTTTAACCTGGGATCCATAAATTTGGGTTTTCCCCAAATGATCCCCTTTTTGGGTCTCAGTTTAAAGCCGCGAACATTGCCTTTGGGCCTTTTGCAAGCCCTTCCACGGATGAAAGGTTTTTTTTTTGTTTGGTTTCTGGGGTTTTGACCCTGTATATTTGGGAAAAAGAATGTTATCGGACTGGGGGTATTTTTTTTGGGACTGGGGGGGGGGTTTTTTTTTTTTCCCGGGATTAGTATCGTATGTGGCAAAGAGTAAACCCTAAATTTTTGGGTTGCTCAGGAGGTACCTCTTCAAAAAAAATTTATTAATTAACTGCTCAAAAATTATAATTTATTAAGGCATTAACAAATTTTGGTGTCCCTTTCCAGTTCGCAGAGTTTAGCCCCTTTTAAATGCCCATATGCCATTCTGTAATTAGTGGGGGCAATTTGGATGGTTAGGGCTCCACGGTAGTCGTACCCAGTAATTTTCCCGATTCAAATTTAAAATCTCTCAGGGATTGTTCTTGGTAAAAGAATGTCTGGGGCTTTCTTCCCGTTCATTTATTCCAATTTCCCGTCTAATTCCCACCCAAATTTTTGCAATGGGTTTAACACCATCCTCTATGGAAAAAATTAAACCGGGGGACGATTTCAAATAAGACACCAGTTTGGGTATTTAGTTTCCCCCTATTTGTGAATTTTTATTACCCAAAGGGAAACCCACCATAAAATTACATGGCCCCCTGCAGGGCTTTAAAAGGGGACACCACATTTTTTACCATACCCCTTTACAAAAAGGGGGCATAATAGTCACTACCATTAAAAAAATTTATTGGGCCACAGAAACATCACTTACAACCCGAAGGGCAAATTTTTTCATTATGGGGAAAGTTTTCTGTAGCTTTTCTAAGTCCTATTAGATAATTTCTCTGGAAGGGCTACTACAATTACTTGGGAATTTAAAATGTTTTTTTTTTTCATTACCCAACCCGCAGTTTCATAAACAGTGTCATACAATTGACCCTTTTATACGAAAAGAAAACCGATAATTTTAAAGTTTTGGGGTCTTTCCCCTTGTACTTTCATACCATTTAGGAAAATTTTTCGTTTTTAAAGAAAAATAAAGTTTGGGGTCCTTGGTCTAAAAATGCGTTACATTTTTTGATTTAAAGTCTATCATCAATTTTTAACCCTTTTAACACAGGTAAGGCACTTCATAAAACCATCATTATTTAAAATTAAACAGCAATTTTTTTCATTAGCTACGTTGGGGTCAAGATTGGAAGCATTAAACAATATTTCAAAAATTTTCATATAACCTTTTCACATGGAAAATATTGGTGTCTTCCTTTGTGACATTGGGTAACGGGAAAATTTTAATTTTTGGATAAAAAATCCCTTTTCATTGTGATTACCCAAACAAACCTTTTTCATTTTTCCCAAAATTTCCCCAAACTTTCCCCATTTTCATTCCCCTAATTTATGCATTTTCAATTCTTAGAAAAAAAGAGTTTTTCCTTGCAGAAGAGACAAAACCCTTTTCTTGATGGGTTTTCTTATTAATGGCTACTCTTAGGAGGGTACTTATTCTTCTTAAACCCTTTTGGAGAATCATTTTTTCTGATTCCTGCTACTAAAATATGCCCTATGCCCAAATCTTTTTAGGAAAAGAAATTTGAATATTAACATTTGGGGTAATTTTTTTCCTTTGTGGGCACTTGGGCAGATACCTCAGAGTTATTAAGGGTTTCAAAAATTTTAAAAAGAGGGTTGGGGGGGCTGGGGCCCGCAAACTTGAAAAAAATTAATTCTTGTAGACCTAGTTTATTTCCCCGGGGACCAAAATAAACCCCTTTTGTATTTGTTTTAGGCCCTTCAATTTTTTTATTTGCTTAATTTATTCTGTACCATTTGGGGATCAATAACCAGGGCTGATTCCTTTAGAAAATTTTTTTATTACTTAAAGTTTTTAGGGGGTTTCTCCCCCAGTTTAAATCTAAACTGGGTGTAAACCTTTGTAAGGGGGAAACTGGAGATTTTTAAAAATTAACAATTTTTTTTTCACTAGATCCAACCCACTTTGTTTATATTACCATAAGTGACTTTAAAAAGTCAACTGCTTCCTTGTAAGAGCATCTAACCCTTGGGAAAGGCTTTTTATGAGTATTGGGGCATCTCCTCTTACCGTCCCTTTTAGGTAAAATAATTTAGTTTTCACAGGCTAGGTCACTCCTTTTCATGCACACTGCTTTAAAAATGGCCCCCAAAAATCCTCCCAATTTTCTCCAGGATTAAAAACAGGTAAACTTTTCCTGGAGGGTTTTTTCAAAGGGCATATTATTTGTTTTGGGGCGACTTTATTTTAAATGCCTTTGGGTTTTCACATTTTAATTTATTTTAAGCCTGACTTTTACAAGAAAGAATCTTTTCTTCTAATTTATAAAAACTGATTAATCATAAGTCTACTTTTAGTTCTTCTACACTTTACCCAACCCAAACTCCTTTTATATTTGTTGTAATATAAATTTTTAAGAATTTATATCTAAATTTCCTAAAGCATCTAAATACAATTTTAAATAATCAGTATTTAAAAGTTTCTTTATTGATTAAATTCCCAAAACCCTTTATTGTATGCTTTTTTTTTACATGGGCCCTTTTTCTAGGGTTTCAGAGATTTTTCATTTTCTTATATTCCCAATGTTTGTCTTCTTTTTAATTTCCTCATTTTCAGCCATTATAGCAATGTTTAATTTTAAAACAAAACCCCAAATTTAAAAACACTGTTACAAAATTACAACACTGATACAAGTTACCCTTTTTAAAAAAATCCTAGCTACTTGAGCTTAGAAATTACATGTATAATATAAATTTTTAAATGTACATTAATACAAAAATTGGCTCCTCAAAATTAAAATTATACAAAAATTTAAAAAAATTTCCCTTTCCAAATTTGGCATAGAAAAAATTAAAATTCACATTTAAAAATTAGCTACAATGGGGTTATCAATTTCACATACACTGATTTAAATCTTTGGGCCCAAAAATTTACTTATCAAATTAATATTATACAAATATAAATCCTTGCCAAAGAAAATTTGGGCATAGCAAAAATTAAAATTATACACAATATAATCTTTATCCACCCCTTTTTCTTATCAAAATTTCACATACACTGATTTAAATTCTTGGCCAGAATTGTTTTTATTTAAAAATTAAAATTGGGAAAAATTATAATCCACTACACATTAAATAAATTTGTTTAACTTAAAAATCCAAACCCCCTAAGGGCATTTCACATTAAAATTTTTAAGTAATTTAAAAATTAATACTTTTACTATTTTCTCCGGTTCAAGAAGGACCAAAGGGTAAATTAAAAGTGAAAAATTGCATTTTGCTGAAAAAAAAAGTTTTCATTAAAAGTACATAACAGTAAATGAAAAAGATAAAATTATTATTAGACAAGTAGGAATTTTATGACACCTAGGTCGCAAAAAAAAGTCCCCTTCGTTTCCCACCACTGTCATATCCACAAGTTGCCCCTGGGCCATTAATTTTTTTAAAGAAAAAACACCAGGAATGCTGGTAAATATATTTAAATTTTGGACTGTATATTAAAATTGAAAAAAAGGGTTATATTTTAAAACAAATTTAAAAATAACAGAAGGAAAATATATCTTAAAATCACCACCATTTTGATGGAAATTAATGTGAAACATACCCGAAAACCTCACTTAAGTAAATCTATGAAAAAAAATGCTGGCCCAGAAATTTTACACAAATTAGAGAGGGTTTTCGAGGTTTCCCGGAGCTGTTTTTGTCCGTCGCCTGATATCTCGAGTTAAAGCAGGAAAAGGCCCCATCCAAAAATTTCGCCCCTATTTGAGAAAGGGGTTTAATGCAATTTTAAACCCCTAGAGCAAAGAAAAATTTTTCCATATAAACAAAGTTTCTAAAACAAATTCAAAACCCCCAAAATGGCGAGTCTCGTCTGCGCAGACGCAGGCTTTCCGTTTTCTATGACATATATATTATTAAATACAGTATGGCCATCTATTTACATATAAATACTGAATTTCTGGAAAGTATATACAGTATGTTCCACAGGTGGTATACATGTTACATGCAGCCTTAACGACTCTGACGGGTTTTAAACCTAACAATCAAACCTCATATGTACACGTACTTAATACACTTGTTACATGTGTCCTACATATATACTACAAATGTGCTGCAAGTGTGCCACAGATGTGCTACAGGTGTTTCTCATCCTGCACAGGTGCAGGAGAGTCTGGCAAGACCACCATCATTAAACAGATGAAGATTCTTCACATCAGTGGCTTCTCTCCAGAGTAAGTTTCTCACTAGAAAGTTTTCCACTGGTAAGTTAGTCCACTACTAAGTTCTCCACTAGTAAGTCCTCTATTAGTAAATCTTTCACTTTTAAGTCCTCCACCAGGAAGTTAGATCACTAGTAAGTTCTCCACTAATGAGTCTTAAACTTACTCATTAGTAAGTTCTCCACCATTAAGTCTCTCACTAGTACTTCCTCGGTAAGTAATTTCTCAACTTGTAAGTTCTCCACTAGTACAAAATACACTAGTAATCTCTCCACTAATAACTTGCTCAACTAGGTCATAGACTAGTAAATCATCCAGTAGGAAGTTACTCCACTGTTAAACCTCCTCCATTAGCCATTCCTCCATTAGTAAATCAGCTGTTAATTTCACTAATAATTTTCTTCACATGAATTGTTAAATATCAGCTCAAGAATTCAGATGTCTGCACTTTAAATTTTATTTATCCGGCTGAAGAATTTTCTCCAAATCAATTAAATTGTGGTTTCAGCTGCCATTTATTTCACTGGAGTCACTGGGGTTTCATTTGCTATATTGTGTTTGTTATGGCTTCTGTAGCGCCTGTGAACCTCCCCATGTACTTTTACTTAAACTCTGTGCCACTTTGCCTAACTGAACTTTCCGCACCATAGAGAGAAGCGGGAGAAGGCGCAGGACATCCGCAACAACATCCTGGAAGGCATCACCACTCTAACAAGGAATCTGGACGAGTTAAATATAGAACTGGAGCAAGAGGAGAACCAAGAGGCCAAGGATTATATCCTCGGTATTGACCCTGAGAACTTCAACTTCCCCGAGGTTGGTGGTTAGGGAAGAGGGATAAAGATCGCAGAGTAAGGCACAGAGAATAAGAAGGGTAGGTAGTGTGAGATTAGTGAAGAAGGAAGGGATAGAATTATGTGAAGCAGTGGAAGAAGCAGTCCGTAGGACTGAAGATGGATGAAAGAAGAGTGTGTTGGGTGTGTCTGTGTCTATTGCAGGTACTGGAGCAGCGATATTCTCGTTATGCGTCCATTGAGTAATTCATTTCTGATATTAGCTGTTGTTGCTTTTGCAATTGGCGTTTCTGCTGCAGTTTCTGCTGCAGCTGTTGTTGATGCTGCTTCTTTTCACAAAATCGCGTCGTTGTCACTTTCTGGTTAAATAATCTGTCGCACATTGCATGCTAGTACCTTAATAAAATTAATTATTAAAATGTTGAGACTTCAACTCACCTGTAAATCTGTCACTAAATATGCGACCTAGAAAAATCCATTGATAACTCATATTCAATTCAATTCAAAGTTTATTCTCTATAAGGATTACAATGCTGAGTTTACAGAATTTGGTTATTGTGTGGTTTACATGTAGTAAAATAATGATTACAGAGTTTTCAGTACAATACGATGGTAGAATTTAAGAGTATAAAAACCAGTGTCAAGTGTCACTTGTCCTGTCTCCTGACCAACGTTATAACAACAACGTATGTAAATTTGATACAGTGTGCGGGGTTATAGTGTTTTAGTAATTTAGGCGCTTTGTTCACCAACGATTTCAGTCAATTCATAGAAAATAACATATAATATATATAATATATATATATATATATATATATATATATATATTATATATATATATATATATTATATATATATATATATATATATATATTCGTTTGGTAGATTTTTTTTCTGAAGAGGAAAAATACTGCGTGTGAATAGCCATCCGAATAATAATAATAATAATAATAATAATAATAATAATCTATTTCTACAAGTACATGATACAGCTTATATAGAACATAGATGACGTCAGTGACATACTATATAGAAAGCCTATGTTTATGCAGAGCACTTCCCGCAACATAGGTTAATTTTGTCCCCAAGCATGCGACCCACACCAGTCAACTAACACCCAGGCACCTACTGACTGCCAGGTGAACAGGGACAGCAGGTATATGGAAACATGGCCATCGTTTCCACCCGTACCAGGGATCGAACCACGGATACTCAATGTGGGTGAAGATAACTGATGACAGAGTCAGGTTCAGGGAGAATAAACCTCGCCAAGACTTCAGAGGTCTTGGACGATCCGAGAGTCTTGAGAAACCATAACTGATAGTGACTGTTGTTGCTCATTCCAAACAATCTGCTGTAATGCTCTCTTCAGTGACAAATCTTGCCTCTGGTAAATTCATAAAGTTGTCCTTGTTCCTGTGTTTCAGTGTAGAATACATGCATTACCATGTCGTTCTTCCACCATGTTTATATGTTCTTTGACTCTGGTATCTTAAATCCCTGGAAGGTTCCTCCTACATAAACCTTGTCACAACCTCAGCATGTTATCGTATAAACTCCGGCAGTAGTCGTCTCGGGTTTTACTTCTTTTTGACTAATTATTTAATGGTTTTGATGAAATGTTATTCTTCATGTTCTTCTTGTGCTGCAGGAGTTCTATGTCTACACTATGCAACTGTGGAGTGACGCAGGGATCCAGGAGGTGTACAGCCAACAACACAGGTTCCAGCTCATAGACTGCGCCAAGTAGTAAGTATGCTCATTCATGTCATATTTTGGTTACAGAGTTCTGTGAAGGCGGTGCCTCAATACAGGTGCGGGGCTCTCAAGACAAAGACCTGGAAATACTCTTCCCATCTTCGGATCAAACCTGAATATCTGCCATTCCCCAGGTTCGGTATGATTCTCATGAAAACAGTAGTTGATCTGTTGGATAATGGGACATTAAGGTTGCACAACTTTTTCACCACCAACCAAGAATATGCTGTAAAATAAGGATTAAACTCTCAGCATATATCCACTAAGATAAATATATTACTTTTGGGTATAATATATTCGTAAACAACGATAAATCATGTAAGAATTTGAAATATGTTGATTCTTATAGTGAGCTATGACTTGTTATTGCAAACTATCGATACCTACATTTCTATCAGCATTATAAAACAAAAAAAAATCGTATTTCTGAAAGCAAAATTGGATACCTCAGAAATGTGCTGCTGACTTAGAGAAGAGGGAAAGAGGATACGAAATGTGGGGAAGTAGGTAGAAGGAAGAGTGGAGTAAAGGGGAAGAGGGGATAGAGAATGGATGTCGAAGCAAAGGTAGTACGAATGTGAGAGCGGGCAAGAGCATAGAGATATGGGTAGTTGATGTTGGGGTAAATGTTGAATGATGGAGATCATTGGGAAGGATGTGGTTGCTGGTGGTAACAGTGTTGTTGTCAGTGATATTTCTCTTCTGATCAGACAAGCCAAATATCTCACTGAGTACCGATGACCGAGTACTTGGCTAATCTATCACTGAAACCCTATCTTCATGTATAGTAAGTTGTTAGACGGCAACCACCCAGGGAGGGACTAAAGAGAGCCCCGCTTATACAGCAGGTTAGGTTCTGGGTTACGGCTGTAAAGTGAAACAACCTATTTTAACTTTTCAAATGCATGTAAAAACCTGATAACTTATTCACACTATCATATATTAAATTAGCAATAGAGTTAGGCCTAAAAACTGCACGTACAGTACACACATTACTTTAAAATATTTTCGTCCTTAGCGTATAGCGAGTGGTGTATTTGTTTATTGTAGGAAACTTGAATAAATCAATAATGGATATACAGTAGACCGTCATTTAACACGGTAGTTACGTTCCTAAAAACACCGTGTTAGGTAAAACCGTGAGAGATGAACTGAAAAACTTATGGGAAAAATAGGGTTACGTTCCTGAGAGTCCCAAAAAAAGCCGAACAATTTTTTTAGGCGTCCACATCTTACAAAAATAAAAGTGAATATGTAATTGTAGTTCATTGTTGTGATGTATTATGTTGTTTTTACTGCTTAAGACTGCAAATGTAACAGAAATAACAATATTTCTTACCATAAATTGTGGGTGCTGGTGTTTGTGGATGATTGTGAAGAGAGTGGAGAGTTATGTTGTGGTCCTACTGGGCTGAGGTGGATGGTAGAGGTTCTGGTTCCGAAGTTGATCGTTGTACTGGAGTGTCTATTTTAAGTCATTCAGTCAGTCAAGTCATTTGGTAAGTCAGTCAAGTGATTCAGTAAGTCGGTTAAATGATTCAGCAAGTCAGTCAAGTCATTCAGCAAGTCAGCCAAGTCGTTCAGTAAGTCAAGTCATTCAGTAAGTCAGTCAAGGCATTCAGTAAGTCAGTCAAGTCATTCAGTAAGTCAGTCAAGTCATTCAGCAAGTCAGTCAAGTCATTCAGTAAGTCAGTCACACTGAGCAAATAACAACCCTAAATATGAAGGTTGAAGAAGCAATCAAGGACTGGAATCAGAACATGCACACTCGACTGAATGAATACCTTAATTTCCAAGACGACAAAACTGAACAAGACAAGTTGTCTGATGCAGTTATAATAAACAGTCCACACATTCCTAGTGACATAACCCAAGAACAGTGCAAAGAAACTGCTATCAGGATAATACAGGACCACGTAAAAGTTATCCTGCAAAACAATGAAATAAAAAAAACACGTTTGCTAGGAAAACAAGGTAGAAAACACAGTATTATGATCAAAGAAAGGATTTAATTAAATCAGCAATTACAATGAAAAATGGAGTGTACATCAACGAACGTCTAACGAGAAAATGTCAAAACCTTCTGTTCAGGTTGAGAAAACTTAAAACAGGAAAACAAAATACATCAGTGTTTCACGCGAGATGGGAAAATACTAGTAAGGAAAACATCAACAGGACAACAATGTACCATCTCATATGAACATGAGTTCTTACTTTCCTTAGAAAAGCTGACATTTCTG